TCTTGATCACAATACAAAAATATCTATACATAAGTGCTCGTAATGTTTGAATGAAACTCTTTTGAATGAAATAAAAGATATGCACAAAGTTTCATTGTTAAAGTTGTATGAACACTTGAAAAACTTGTTTGAATTGATTATAAATGATATGTGGAAGATGTTTTTTTTTTGTATTTCTGATGTAGATAACCTTATTTACATTCCATGATACCTTTTGAAGTGATGTATAAGTTTAAAACGAATCCATGAATCCTTACAACTTTTTACACACATTTTGTCTCATGAAAAAATGCATCTGTTGAATTTGTAATTGATTGCGGCTAACTGATAATCGATTACATGCTACATTGTTTCTGAAAATTTGAATTCTGAATGTTGTTTCTAAAATAAGATATATACGATGGTTCTAGAAAGTGTTACTATGACGGTTTCAATTGGCATAATTTATAAAATAACTCGTAATCGATTAAGAGCATGTGGTAATCAACTCTCATTGTAACCAAAGTGGAAAATATAGTTTTTGTAGGTTGTGCATAAACATGTAAGAAACTTGTAAATGAAATAAGAGTTGATTTTTCTGAGCATCTAAAGTATTATATCATGAATTATAATGAATGTTAATCATAATCCATTAACTTGATTCTTCTCTTGATTAGCTTCATAATTGGCAAGCATTTATCATGTGTCTTCTTTAGCTTTTTATTATTTGGTAATCTTCGTCAATCTCCCCCTTTTTTATGATGATAAATATATAAATAAAATGTTTTTGTTTGACATTTGTTACCCCTCTATTTTGTATATATTCCCCATTCTTTTGCAATTCAAGCTTTAGTATCCTAAAATAAAATGAACAAAAACAACCATACCACTACTTCCTCTTTTGATATTATCAAAAAGGAGAAAAATAAATAGAATTCAAAACAAAGTAACATAGGGAAAGATACATCATGATAGATGAATACATTAGATAGAAGATGAATATCTTCTTCATAATCTCCTAATTTTTTATGATGACAAAATATATTGATGAGAAGTTTTTGTTTGACACATATCGTAATATATCTTTTTGAAGTGATGTATAATTTTAAAACAAATCCATGAAGCCTTATACCTTTTTACCCATAGCTTGTCTCATAAAAAGTGTATTTGTTGGATTTGTAATCGATAACGGTTCATTGGTAATCAATTATGTGTTGCAATGTTTTCGAAAAGTTTTGAATTTTGAATTCTATTTCAAAAATAAGATACGACGATTCTCAAAAAAATTATTATGAGGGTTTCAACTGCCATAATTTACATAAATAACTTGTAACTTAGCATGTGGTAATTGATTACCACTGTACCAAATGAAAGTATCTATTCAATTTATTTTCAACCAAATGAAATTTTTAATTTCATTGTACCATATGATTTCTTGTTCTTTTGAACGATCAATTTTAATAATATAATATTAACATTTGGTTTCCATGGACACCTATAAAAGAAAATTAATAGTTTTTTTTTAAATATTCAATATTATTTGGATCTTTTTGGGTTAGTTCATTTCTCAACTCACATATAATTATCACTAGGTACAAAAAAAGTTCTAACATAACATGCATTAGTGGTATGACCTTTATATTTACAATAGAAACAAGTATGTGTCATGTTAGATATTTTTTAATAATCAGAGAAATAATTTTTGTTATATGCCTTTCTAGATTAAAATTATCACATACTTTTTTAGATTGAACATTGTTACAAGCATTGTTATATTTGAAAAAAGATAGTTAGTCTTTTTGATTTGACTAAAAATTTTAAATTATAATATTCTAATCCACTTGTAAGATTTAACTACTTAAATTATTATTCAATTCATTTTTGCTTTTTTTATAATTGCATATAACTCGATTAAGAATCAAAAAATTTGATTTCAAGAGATACACATTTATCACATGTTAGAGAATCAATTTGAGTATTTAATTTAGATTTATCTTTGTCTAACTTAACTTTGCATAATTTTAAAATTTCTTTCTAAAAATGAAATTATTTTCTTTTGCTTAACACATAATTTAGAAAGCTTTAATTATCATGCAAATCATCAAAAACATTATGTAATTCATCATAAGAAGGTTCATTATTACTAACATCATTATCATCATCGTGGTGATGTGAAACCATTAATTTCATGTATTCTTCATCTGAAAATGAACTTAGTTTATTGTCTTGTCATGCCACGTATGTTCTTTTTGGCATTTTGTTTATCTTGCCATTAAAGTCATTCTTTCTTTGAAGCATGAGACAATCACTTTTGACATATCCCAATCTTCCACATTCAAAATAAATAATTTTCTTTTTTGAAGTTGATACTTCATTTAACTTATTTCTTTGACTAATTGTCATTTTCTTTTCTCTTTTCAAGAATTTTTCAAATTTCTTAACTAGTACATCATCTTTATTATTTTCGCCAGTGTCAGATTGAGATTTTTCTTCCTGATCACTATCATAATCTTTGACTTTAGTTTTTAAAACAAGAGATCTCACTTTATGTTCAGGCCTTTCATGATTTTCCATCATTAAAGTTCCAATTTATACTTTTGCAACTTTCCTAACAATGTGGGCCGATGTCATTTTAGAAAGATTTTTCTTTTCGAACATTGTTGTTATTTTTAGTTGTGATCTAGTCAATGATTAAATTACTCTTCGATTTAGTCCATCACCGAATAAAGTTTTTCTAAGAACAGTCAAGTGATTTGTCAAATAAATAAATTTTTTTTTACAAATCAAGTATCTTTCTCTCTGGTTTCATTCTAAACATCTCATATTTTTGAAAGTGTGTGTTTAGTTTAAACATTTTAACTTCATTTGTACCTTCATGTGTGACTTGTAAAATATCCAACATTTCTTTAGTGGTTTGGCAATTTAATACCGTAAAAAACTCATTCATTCTCAATAAAGATGCTAATATGTTCTTAACTTTCTTATCATAAATAGTTTTCTTAAATAGTTTTCTTGTCATCTTCATCATCCCATTCCCATAACACTTCTGATTTCGCACAACTTACCCCTTTAATAACCAAAATTGGAATGTATGGACCGTTTACTGACTTCCATATTTCTACACATATATATATACATTTGTATTCTAATATTTAGCTAATATTTGGAAGAAAAAAAAGTAATAGCTAAATATCCTTAATATATTAATAGGCAAATATCCTAATTAGTTTGTCTTATTTTATTTGAAAATCATTACACATATATATATACATTGCCAAATACTTAAAAAAAACTCATCCTCTCCCAACGATTCTCTCAAATACTAACAACATTATCCACAAATCTTGGGCTGGATTGAGTTTTGATTCCTTTTCCATTCTATTCATATATCCAATACTTTCTACCTTACCTTACCATATATATATATGCCCAGGTTTTCTCTTTCACAACCAAACAAATGGTACACATTATAGCCTTTAGAGAACAATTTTTAATCTTACACAAAAAGCACAAACCACCCAAAATCAAGCACTATAACCTTTGTTAGATGGATGTAATAGCCCTACATCATAACCACCACATGCTGCCATACATGCCTCCTCCATTGATTCCTCAGAAATACCACGGTTGCAAATGTTCGCAAATGCGCGCATGTGTTTCATCCCATACTGAGTCAGTGACCCGCAATGAGTTTCGAACACCCGAACCTGCAAACCAAGTTCAACATCGATAAATAATATGTTAATAACAAGAAAATTCAGTTATTTGTTTATGTTTACCCTTGATTTTAAGCATTCCCAGTCATCGACAAGAGGCAAACCAGAAACTCTAACGGATTGTAGAACTGAAGAGCCTTTTGTTGGACCAAACAATAAAACTCCTATCAATTCCACACTACCATCTAAATGATTCCTATGTTTCACTGTATCCGAAATCTTCTCGAGAATGTCTCTCTTTTGTTCGGTTTGATCGTCTAATCTTTGATACTGAAAGAAAAGTGAGCAACTTATATATCTCAGTACAGAATCGTTTGAGCAAAGTTTTCGTATATTAAAACTCGGTTGAAGAGAATATACCATTTGCCACATGAAGAGAATCTCTGCATCTCTTTGGTTTACAACTTCAATTTTAGTTTCTAACATGCCATTGTTTGGAGGAAGGTTCACCGTTGCGGGATCAAAACCATGGTATAAATAAAGCTTTTCATCGGTTATATTGGTATCGCCATACTGCATCACATGAGAACCTAATGCGTAGTTGTTGTAATTTGAAGTCCGTTCCTTCACCTGCACCAGAAATTCAAACATAATTTCTTTCATCATTTTCTTGTTTTTCTGCTTCATTGCTAATACTGAAAAGCAACATGTATATATAACTTTGAAAAAACATCTTACCGACATGTATTGTTGTTTCACCGTTTCCCTTTTTAGATTGTGTGTCTCACTGCATAATTCAAAACAGATCAATTATGATTGGTTGACAGTATAAAATTTTTACAACTACTTACAATTCATCAAAAGGCGAAGTAAAATACCTATCTTCCATCCAAGCAACGCTATACAAATCGCCGAGGCAAGTGATGTACTCTGGAGGTGGAGCAGGATCCACACCAGGACAGTAAGTTCCCCAACTACTCTCTTGCGCATTGGACGCAGTTGTCACATAAACATTTATATCCTTTGGCATTATACCCTCAAAAACGCTACCACTTTCACAAGCTTCCACATATATAACCTATACAAAACAGCACCTCTATCTATGACTTACATAAACTAACATCATTTCTAGTAGCATTTTAAGAAGTGATATCTTACCATCTTTTTGTAACCACTAGACGCATGTTTCTTCTTCAAAACATCAATAAAATCCATAGCATATACATATGGCATATTTGGCATCCCTGCATTGAAAAAGAGATTCACCGATATGTAATTTCTGTTCAAGATAAATCTAGTTATTAAAATCTATGCTTAAACTCACCGAGAACTCCAGGGCCTCCATGATCAGAGTAATATATAAATATTCTATCCTCTGCTTTGCTGTTGATGACCTTGCCACTTCCACCCCTAACTTTACTCTTGTCCCCAAGAATAACAGCATATAGGTTCTCTGCTGTCACGTAGTCACCGGTGTAATCCTGCATATATTTATTTAATAAAGTCATAGATTGAAATAGTGCAAAAGAAGTTCAAATGTGATGTGTGCAAGACCATAGTATTCAGCTTCGATACCAGACCGTGTTATTAGAGGTTGTTTCTTAGAAGTTCAAACAACCAGATTTGAACCAAAATAGACACATGAGTCTAAGGTGGATCGTCTAATCTGAATCATTATAAACTCAAAATGTGAAATATTTGATAATGAGAGTTTGCTTAAGAAGAAGACCAAATCATGTCTTGTAATATTACATATTTGAGGGCCGCTACCATGGACATGTATAGGTGAGGATCATTAAATGTATCAGTTCCATTCTTACTCATTTTTGTAGTGATTGAGCATGGGTGTAGAGACACATTTTTGCATCATATATGTTAACCCTTGATAGAAGATCTTCGACATATTTGAATTGAGTTGGTAATAATGAGCCATTTACTTGATAAGTAACTTGAGTTCATAAAAAGTAAGCAAGTTTACCTAACATCTTTAGGGAAAAAATTTCATGAAGCTTGTTGGTAAGGTCATGCACTAGTTTAGTGGAAGAACCAGTTAAAAAACACATCAACAAAAACTAGAGCATACAAACTGAATAAGGGGTTGAGCAAGCTTTTCATACCAAGCTCTAGAAGCTTATTTGAGCGCAAAGTGGCTTATGAGTTTGCATACTAGACTCCTGTCCTTGGATACAAACCATGGAGGTTGAAGCATAAACATATCCTCTTGTAAGATGTCATTCAATAAGACATGTCATTCAATAAGACATTATCAATATCAATTAGCTGAATTTCTCATTTGTGTTTGTGTGTGATAACCAATGTAAGGACAACTCTGATGGTGGTGGACTTGACTACTAGTTATAATATCACATTGAAATCAAACCCTTGCTGTTGCGTAGCCTTTTGAAACCACCATCAGAATTTTCTTTGACTATATATGAAAATCCACTTACAACTCACAAATTTTCCATGTGGAAGTAAGGGTGTAAGTGTCTAAGTGTTTCTCTAAGTGTTGCTAGAGACTAAAACTTTATACTCATCTTTGTGTTGCTAGAGACTAAAACTTTATACTCATCTTTCTTGGCATATGTTGAGGGTGAGACAAAGCATTCTTGACAGAAGTGGGCTCAAAATGGGCAAGAAAAGCCTTTGGCTTGGAGTTGAATGTTACTTTGGTTTACATAGGTGTGCACTCAGAACTAGTGAATTTTGTGGTCTACCATCGTGAATAAAATGTGATTGGGAAGAATTAGATAGAGTACTGTCATAATAAGTATATATATATATATATATATATATATATATATATATATATATATATATATATATATATATATATATATATATATATATATATATATATATATATATATATAAAAGTGCTAAAAATCTCTTCATTTTATTATCAAGCTTTGAAATAAAAAAAATTTTATCTTGGTTCTGTGGTAATTGATTACCAAATATCAAGCTTTGAAATTAAAAAAAAAATTATCTTGGTTCTGTGGTAATTGATTACCAAATATTAGCTGTCAAAATTCAAAATTATAGTCGTTGAAACTTAGTAATCGATTACTAAGTATTGGTAATCAATTGCCACGCGAAAATTAAAATTTTTTCCATCGAGTAATGGCATCTTTTGAGTTGGAAAAGCTTCGTGAAACCCCTTTCATTCTTATATGTCTATTCATAAGGGTTTCATAACATGTATATAAGGCTTTCTACATCAGAATTCAAACTCCCCTCTTTAATACATCATTTTTCATATATTTCATACAAACTTTTTCAAAGTGTTCATATATCCATTATAATGAAACTTTATGCATAACTTTTATATCATTGGAAAAAGTTTCATTCAATTATTTTAAGCACTCAACTATATATATATATATATATATATATATATATATATATATATATATATATATATATATATATATATATATATATATATATATATATATATATATATATATATATATATATATATATATATATATAAAGAGAGAATATCGAATTGATTATCTTAAAATTCAAGTCAAGTCAAGTCGAATATTACTCTAAATTATATACAAGGTTCTATTGTTTGTTCACCATTGTTGTTTGGTGTGATCATAACAAGTTGTTGGTGATTGTTGTAAAAGGTTATTTGATTCGGATAGATTCAAAATCCACCGTAGTTTTGGTGTTTGTTGGAAAAGAAAGTGGTGTTGCCTTCTTATGTTGGTTAATGTTAGAAGATTGTAAGAAAGGTCTTGGTGTAAGACTTGTACAAAGATCTAACACAGTGAAGTTTCTCACGGGGTGAAAGGGGATTGGAGTACTCTTGTTTAAAAAAACAAACCAGAATATATTTTGTGTCAATTTACTTACTACACTTTACTTTTCCTTCTTTATTATTCATCCATTCATCATAACTTTTCAAAAAAATAAAAAGCACCATAACATCTCTAAAGTAATCGAAAAAATCTTAAAACCTAATTCACCTCACCCCCTCTTAGGTTGTACTATATACTTACAATTGATATCAGAGCAGTTTAAAGTAACTTCCTCTTCGATCCGAAAATTATGGCTTCAGCTAATCCGACTTATAGAAATGGTGGCAGTAATAACAAACCTCCATACTTTGTTAGGGAATATTATGATTCTTAGAAGATTCGCATGCAAAGCTTATCTAAAAGCACAAGGAGAATAAATATGAAATGTTGTTAAAAATGGTTCATACGTTCCTAAAATAGTTATCAATTATGTAGAACAAGAAAACCTAAAAGGCTCTTGGAAAGAAGATGACAAGAAGAAAGTAGTATTTGAACAAAAGAAAAAGAACATTCTTCAATCATCCCTAGGTATGAATGAACTCTTTCGTATATCTCATTATAAAACAATAAAAGAGATTTTGAATACTTTAGAAGTAGCACATTAAGTCAATCATCCCTAGGTATGAATGAACTCTTTCGTATATCTCATTATAAAACAATAAAAGAGATTTTGAATACTTTAGAAGTAGCACATTAAGGCATGGTAGATGTGGTATTTGGATTAAACACTAGTGTCGACAAGGATAGCTTCATGGGTCGACAGGAGTTGTGTATGCTGTAATCAAAGTATGTTTGAGTATAATGTCAAAATATATTAACTTGTAATTTAAGCTATTATGTCGAATTGGGCATTGCTTCTAATCTCAATTGTTAAGTTAGCTTGTATCCTAAACTAACCTAGTAGTATGTAAATAGACTAGTTCTCTCAGATTGTTAAGAGAAGTTAATTGTTGATATTCACTTGTAATCTTTGAATCCTTATTGAGAAAGCGAAAAGAAAAATATATTTAACCAATTCTTATTCTTCTTCTTCCTTCTCCTTTTTATAAAACCTAATAGGGTTTCTAGTGTTTGTTCAAGAAACTCAATCTTTTTCTTATGTTTTGGTTTGTTCATGAGGACATCAATTCACAACAGTAGAATTAAAATGATCTAAACTAAACATTTTATCACAAAAATATGAAATGTTTAAAATGCAGCCCAGTGAATCAATTCATTATTCTCAAACAAGAATCGCGCACTTAATAAATCACATGATGGATCTTGAAAAATGTTTTACAAATGATGAATTGAATTTCAAGAGTCTTTCTAAAATGTCTTATGCAACATTGTTTAGTTAATTATAAGAATGTGAGATAGAACTTAAAAGATTAAAGAAGAATGAAGAGAATGAAAAGAACTCCTAAAATGTTTCCCTAAAAACTAAAACAAAAATTTATAATAGTAATGAAGATGATGAATCTGTTATTGATAAAGATGATTCTCTAGTAAAGAAATTTAAAAAGTTCTTAAAACAAAGAAAGGACAAAAAAATGAGTAAAAAAGAAGTACCAAAAAAAAATTACTTACTTTGAATGTGAGAAAATAAAACATATTAAAAATGAATGCCCTACCCTTGTAAGTAAAAACAAAATATATAGCAAGAAGGACACAAAATCAAAAAATCAAAGAAAACATATGTGGCATAGAAATACAATAAGATATGTTCATCATCAGATGAAGAATAAGAAAACTTTCTTATGAATAATTATAAAAAAGGTCAAACTAATTTAGAAGACATGCTTAGTAGACAATGGTATTCAAATAGCAAAAGTTGACTTAGATTTTCTAATTTTAACCAACCAAGCACTACTAAAACAATCTTTGTCAAAACTACTACAACATCCAACAATGAGGAACCAAAGAAAGTGCATGGTATATTTCATTTTAAAAAATCCTAAGATAGAAATCATTTTTATGTCTATAAAAGTAATCATGTTTTTAGACCTACATACTTTTATTGTAGTACAAAATTCGATACTTCTAGTACTTTCAACATATAAAATTTTGGTGTTACTTAGAGTGAGTATGTATGGATAAGGAAGAGAACTAATCCAATAGGACCCAAAAAATATTGAATACCTAAAAAATACTATTAATTGTTTTGTAAGTACTTTTAGATCATATACAAATCTTGCAAAATTAAGATTGTTCTTTCAACATACAAGACCATATGATATGATAAGATTAAAAATTCAATGAACTAAAAAAATATTTGAAAAATATTAACACTTTAAAATCAACATTGACATCAAAATCATTGTAAAGAAGATAAGTTATTTTTAGATATAATATATCATTTTTTTTATATTATGTTTCTTTGGATTTTACCTTTTCTTTTTTATAATATAAAAAAGGTGGAAAATAGATGATTTTTTTAGTTATTTTTCAAGATAACAAAGACAAAAGAATAACTTGCAAGAGATAGAGGACATATGCAAGATAGAGGGAGATATACAAGATAGGGGGAGAAATCAAGTATCAAGAAAAAAACTTCGCATCAATATATTTTTTCATCATAAAAAAATAAAAAATTATGAAGAAGATATTCATCATCAATCTTATCTTAATTTTGATGAAGACAAAAGTATATCAAAGAAGAAAAGATTAGAACCAAATATCAATATTGCATAAGTTTTGAAAATCAATATAGAATCACGAAAATTAAGGTACAATGACAATTTATACCTATATAAATTTTAAGTGCTCAAAATATCTTCATTTTATTTCTCTCATAAGAGATAATGGATTACCCAGCTTTCAAAAACAAACTTTTGACCATGGTTTTACCAGCTGTCAAAGCTCAAAATTATAGTTGTTCAGTTATTCAAACTTAATCAATTACTGCTTATTGATAATCGATTGCCACGCAAAAATATGAATTTTTCTATATGGCACCTTTCAAGATGGAAAAGCTTCATGAAACCCCTCCATTACTATACATCTATTCATAGGAATTTCATAACATATATTTAAGACTTTCTATGTCAAAATTCAAACTCACCTCTTTCATACATCATTTTTCATATGATTCAACCAAATTTTTTCAAAGTGTTCATATATTCGTTACAATGAAACTTTTCATATTATTAAAAAATAATTTCATTCAATTATTTTGAGCACTCAAGTATATATATGTTTGAAATGTGATCAACGAAAGAAAAGATGAAATTGATTATTTTAAAATTCAATCCAAGTCAAATATCACTCAAAATTATATACAAGGTTGTATTGTTTGTTCACCATTGTTGTTTGATGTGACCATCACAAATTGTTGGTGATTGATGTAAAAAATTATTTGATTCGAAAAGATTCAAAGTCTACCATAGTTTTGATGTTTATTATAAAAGAAAGTGAGGTTACTTTCTTGTGTTGGTTTATGTTAAAAGACTATAAGAGAAAGAGAAATCTTGGTGTAAAGATTGTACAAAGATCTAACATTGTGAAATTTCTCACGGGTGTGAGAAATTTGAAATACTGAAAACTGAAATACTCTTGTACGGGGTGTGAGAAAACTGAAACACTCTTTTTAAAGAGAAACATAATATATCTTATGTCAATTTACTTATTGCACTTTATTTTTTCTGCTTTATTGTTCATCCACACATCATAACTTTTTGAAAAAATAAAATATCGCCATGCCATCTCTAAAATAACTGAAAAGATCTTAAAAAATCACCATCACGATGCACTAATCCTTTGACGTCCATCACGATGACCAATTAAATTTTGCTTGGAATTGGAATGCGCAAGGTTTGCAGACAGAATAAACATTATTAACTTTTGTCTGAATTTGTCTAATTGAGCTCCCTAAACATAAAATAACTTACAATAGGACTTCTACACCATATAGGAAATTGAGACTGGCCATAAATTTGCATCATGAAGGCCCTATAAAGTTGCATAAATTTAAGCTAAATGTCATCCATACAAGAAAAATTAGATATGGAGAGGAACAAGATAAATAAAGCTTGATTCAAATTTCATATTTCATCGAAAAAGGATCCAACTCGGTTTTGAATATTGGTGGAATTTGTAGATTAACAACAAATTTATACATTTTGTTAGTGAGAATTTCCCCTTCCACCTACTCATTCCACATAACAAAGGTGTTGTTGGTAACAATTTAGAGCCATGTAATGGGTAGTTGTTGGATGAACTCGATCAAAGACAAAGAAATGAAGAGAGTGTGAGAAGTTGGAGGAACTTCTTAGGAATTTTGATAAGATCAATAGAGTTACACTACCTTTATTGAAGCTTCTCTAAACCTTTTGGAAAAAGGTGTGTAAGATGTTGGGTTTAGGCGAATATTCCATAATGAAATTGAGTATCAATGATTTCATCTTAAAGAATAACCAATTGTTACTCTATATCTCTACTATACTATATGTAAAAACCATTTACTTATACGTCTCATTAATTAACCATTTTAATTATTGAATTTGTCATGTTTGTTTTTAAATATTATTTTTCTAAATTAGTTTAATAATAAAAATATAAAAATATAATACTTTATATATGTTCTTAAAAAAAGTTAAACATTTACAAAAGATAATACTTCTTTACACTTTTACTTTTAGTCAATTTCAATTAAATTTTAAAAAAATATTAATTTTTCCATATCATTAATTTGATTTGATGGAATGCATAATTATGCAAATTAATTTATATGATCAGTGCATCATCTTTTTTATTTTGAATAAAATACATAATTATTTTATTATACTTGAATTGTGATTAATTTAAGATGTTTGGAGAAAAAGAATTTCCACTTATAAAATGCTCCAAAGCACTAGCCAACCATGACTTAAGTGCAGAATATCCACTCAAGTGCGTTTCTTTTTGGTAGTTTAATAGTTGTTGCTTAACAACTATTAGTTGGCGTCGGTAACATTTTTATAAGGAATAAAAAGTACAAGTAGGATTAATGGCTCAAAACCACTTTTCAATATTTCAAAAAGTTAAAACCATTTTTCTTTCAAGATAGAGAAATGTCCAATAACTCCCATAATTAGTGTTGAAATCAACAAAGTACTCTCCTCAAAATAAACAAATTTGCAAAATAGTTACTTTAAGATGTTATGTGAATGAAATAAATAAATAAAAACTTATGAAGTGGTCCAAAGTAGGACCAAAACAATTTAATTGGATCATATTTAATACTATTATTTCCAAAATATCTTTAATAAAAAGAAATTTTAATATAACGAAGAAAACGAGTACCTTAGGAACTCCATCATAAACATTGGGACCTTGTGGATGGTTGATGATAACCCCAGGCCTAGGATTCAACTCGTGGTTTGCAATATCATCATACATAAAAACCACTATGTTTTCTTCTTTTACTCCTCCTTTTATTAGCAGCTGGTATGCATGGCACACATCTGCCTGCAAATCAAATCAATAATAACTCATTAATTCATTTTAGAAAATATATAATAAAAAAATTGAAAGAAATAAAAAAGAACATACTTGGTGCCTGTAGTTGCCGTAACCATTCGAACCAGCCACAAGAACCGCCCATCGTGTTCCAATTTCATCCACGTCGGCATCGACCAGTTCACCCGGTAATCTGATCACCGACTCCCACTCCAACCGGTTCGGTCTTGCGATGGAACCGTGCAAACTCGTCAACAACAGCAACAAAAGAACATCGGAAAACATGTTTTTGCTGAGAAAAACAGAGTGAAATTGATCAACCGCCTTGGAGAGAAAACCAAAATCAGTAACTCATAAAAGAAGCTACGAGAGGCTTGTTGTTGAAGAATTGATTGAGAACTTTAGTTAAAGACAAAGTGACATGCAAAACTAGAGAGTGACACGTTGAATTGTTGAATTAATATAAGGAACAATTGTGTATACGCGTGTATAATTTGAACCTACCTAGTCTATGTGTCTTTTAGTGGAACAAGTTTGCTTGTTTGCTATGTTGTTTATGCTTTTTCCGTTTTCTTTAATTGGAAAATATTTGCTGAGTATGAGTCTCTCTTTTATTGTAATGAAATGTCTGCCGTTTGTTCGTTGAATTTATATTTTAATTTCTACGTCAAACTAGTGGCTACCTAATGTCTTTGCTTCTGTGACAATTGACGTATGTGGCACCAAGGGAGTGAGTATAAAGAACGGGATAAATTGGATTTGTGTGTGCTGTAGGATATTAATATTCGACCGGGTAGTTTTTTAGATTTTGACTTTGTCTTTAACTAAGATAGAAATATGATTTTATATTTGAGAGACTTAAACTATTTGATGTCCGAATAATAGAGAGATAATTGAGGGGGAGAAAATTTCATTTATTAACGGTGATAAAAATGCTTTCAAAATATTTATATAAGTATTACAAAAGAATTTGAACACAAGTCACACAATTAGATAAATAAAGAAATAGATTTTTTGAATTTGGAACTGATGACATTAAATTGGTAACTGGTTACAGCTATTACAAAAATAATTTTTTTTAGCAGTAATCGATTACGCTCACGATGCAACTCCAATTTTTTTAGCTCATTAGTGATTGTTGCCTTGTTGTAACCGGTTACACCCTCGTGTTAACTGGTTACAATACTTGAATTATCAAAAAATATTTAACACACCACCTTAATTCAAGTCTTTCATACTCGTGCTCATCTTCAACTTTTTGAACAAATTATTTATGACTCCCTTAGCCAACAAATCAGTCACTTAGTATTCAATTCTACAATATCTCAATCTTAACTTTCCTTCACTAACAAGTTCTCTCAAGTATTGAAACCTCATCTCAATGTATTTGCTACTCCCATATGTAATTGGGTTCTTAGCAAGATTAATCACATAAAGTTATCAATCAGGAATGTAACAACCTCACTTTCATTGCTGCTCAGCTCCTTCAATAGATTCATTAGCCACATAGCGTGGCACGCAGATAACGAAGCGACAATGTAATCGGCCTCAAAAGACGAGAGTGCAACTATCAGTTCCTTTTTTGAACACCGTGAGATTGGTGTTCCACCGAGCATAAAGATGTATCCAGCTATAGACTTTCGATCATCTTTATCTCCGCACCAATTGGAATCGATTAAACCGAGTAAATTGCATTTTCTTCTCGTTTTCGTTGCGGGAAAGAGAGTCATGCAGTCAGTCGGTCCTTTGATGTATTTTAGGATCCTCTTGACTGCTGCCAAGTGAGACACCTTCGGTCTCCATGAAGCACTCACAATAATGAAACTAAACGTCAAGTCTGATCGCGTATTGCACAAATAGCGCAAGGATCCAATCAGCCTCCTATACTGAGTTGGACCAGCATCTTGTTCATCCTCATTCTTTGACAATTGTATTCTCGGTTCTGTCGGAGTAATGGCAGCATTACAATGCTCCATTTTAAACTTTTTCAATATCTTAAACGCATATTGTAACACCCTACTTTCCGACTCGAAAAATAAATAGATAAAAGATGTATAATACATAAATCATTCAAGTAAAATGTTACTCAAACATCAACAAAACATACATGAACGTCCACATAACTAAAAATTGAATCATTTGATAAGCAGCGAAAATTATAAAATAGTCGACATAAAGATCCTCAACAAACATAAGTTTGAAAAGTGTATCAATATCCAAATAAAGAAAAGATATGTAACAGAAGAAAACAAATAAAAGGACAAATTGTTCCCCTCGTGTTACATACCAGCGCGACTCCAACTATAGACTCGATCGACAGACATGCAGAGCGTGGAGAGCCTTGGCGAAATGAAGGCATGCGGAGCGAAACATGTCAATTTTTGGAGAAATGTCCATCGAAGACAGTTATTTCGACTTGTTATAAATAGGAATATTAGTGTTAAGATTTTTGTGTGTTTATTATTGTACAAATACTCAAAGTATCTAAGACAAGTGAGAAAAGAGTTTTTGATTGAGAAATGTACGTTTGAAACACCACATTTATTTCAATTGAAACACCACACTTAGGCCAAATTTCGTTAAGTCCACAAAATGACCTATAATGTTTCTAAACTTTTGATAGTCTTCCAAGGATAATTGGATCTTGACTTGTAAAGAGAAGTTGGAGGGGATTTCAAGGAGAGTCATTTGCCTAAAGAAGCGCTCAAAAATGTTGAAGTATGAAGAAGTTATGAAGTCTTGAACTTGGGCTTGAGAATGTTGACTTTTTAATCAAACCTCTTTGTACAAACTTGCAACCTTAGGGCTACGCCTTTTCAAAAATTTAGCTCATGATCCTTTGAGTTTTTCCTATGTTTAAAGTACTTTAATGAATACTTTTTCATATGAAAATGACTTGTTTTTCCATGTTTGGTTGTGAGACTTGTCTCTTGACTTTTTCATGATACTTGTGATTCTTTCATACCTTGTTGAACCCTTGTGTGCATGTATGCCCTTGTGTTTGTTTATCTTTGGCTATGTGTTTATAAATACCTTAAACTTTGACAACATGCCTTTGTATGATTCCAAACTTGTATGCTTACAATGTTCAAACCTTTGTGATGTTTTAACCCTTAAATGTGATTGCCATGAACCTTAACAAGTACCTTTGGTTGTTACCTTGATGATTTGAACCATGTTTTCAGTTGTATTCATGATTGAGTGTTATTACAACTTATCCATGATTGTTTGAACTTTTAAAGTGTATTCATGATTAAGTGTTGTTACAACTTATCTATGATTGTTTGAACTTTTAAATTGTATTCATTATTAAGTGTTGTCATAACTTATCCATGATTGTTTGAATTCTTAAATTGTATTCATGATTAATTATTGTTACAATTTGTCCATGTTTGTTTGAATCCTTAATGCGTATTCATGATTAAGTGGTGTTAGTAAATCCTAATCCATGTCCTCAACCTTGACCTCAGTTCATGCTTACTCTAGTTGTACACCTGAATTTTTCATCCATGATACCATGTTGATATTGTTATATCCATGTTTGACTTGAAACTTTGACCATGATATTGTTATATCCTTCATGATGTTGTTGATAAATATTGTCACATTCTCTTTCACATGCTCATATGTTGTTACTTATGTGCTTATATTGTATGCTTACATGTTATTGTCATAAAGATATTTTGATATGTCACACTTATGTTGTCATTTTTGTCTTGCTATAACTATACCTCATGTGTGCTTAGGTGTTGTAACATCCTTGTTTATATGTGTTTATCTTGGTTGCTACCATGTTAACTTGTAACTTTGTCTTGAATATTGTTATACCTTTGTTCATTATTGTTACCTCGATCTTTTATGACTTTATCAAGTTTTGTCCTAGATGTTGCCACATCTACCTTTGTGTCTTGGTTGTTACAATCTGCATTTGAACTTTGTCATATCTTATATGATTTCTTTTACTAACATCATGTTTGAATGTTATATTTATCACTTATAATTGATATCATGTTTGAATATCATACTTGTTCATCTCATCCATTAGCACTCATAAACTCATGTTTATTTTGACTTTGTCAAGTCATTCTCTCTTCCTCCTCTTTCTTTTGTTACTCAAATCCAAGGAAATATCTTTTTGTTAACTTTATGTCATAGGTAGCTTAGCCTTACCTCAAATTCCCTCTTGACCTTGTTAGAGTCATTGACTTTTCAACTTAGTTCTAGGTTAGGGTTTGTAAACTCTATGTAAGTGTTATTATTATAAACACTTACCTTCCCCTTTAGAACCTTGAGGATTATCAAGTGTTCTTCACCTTTATTAAGGTGAACTACGATTACTCTTATTTCATCCTTGTTAGGAAACGTAGGCATAAGATCGTGAATTATTGACGAGCATATTTAGTAAAACCTTTCTTTCTCTATAGAATATTTTCAAACATTAGCAAACAATAAAATAACACAAATACAACAAGAGGTTTCTATAGAGTACTATAGATACTTAGGGTGCTAATACCTTTCATTTGTATAACCAACTCTCGAACTTTTATATCTTTTTGCATTTTTGTTACATCACACAAGTAGGATTTTATTTGATCTTTTCCTTTTTTTTTGGATAAATTAATATTCGGTGGTGAACATTCAATGTTTTGTAATTCAAATTAATATAATAGTTTGATATCCGATTCTCACCGCAACATGATATTATTGAGTGAGTATTACTCATGGTGTAACTCTTCAAATGTAATTTGATTCCTCCACGTTATTTTAATAACATTAAAGTATTATTTTTTTAATATGACTAAAGTATTATTTTTATAAGTTTGCAATTGTTTTTGCTGTTTCTTTATATCGCTTGTTTTCGTTAGGGTTTAATTGGTTTTCATCAATCACATAGATCATAAACACATTCCATGGGCCAACAGTCAGCTTACCATGCAAAAAATATATTTACCAAAACAAAATCTCTTTTTATTTAACTAAAAAGTATGAAATAGTCAGCTTGTCTATTTGCTATATTTAGTTAAATTTGCGTGAACTTATGCGTTGTGAAAGAGAATAGACGAGTGATTGAGGCATGTAAAATTGTTGTCCTACCAATGTCTAACATGGGGACAAGCTACAGATGGGAAAATAAATGTGTTTTTGAGAGTTCTATGATTCTGCAAAATCCATGTTTTCATGCCTAACATTCTCCAAAACAAAAAACAAAACAAAAATACAGCAAATTTGCCCAGTAAAAGTTCATGGAAGAGAAAATCGTGTCGTTTTCTTTTTCCTTCTAAATGTTCTTTTTTGGCTAACCTTGTATAAGTACATGAAAAATTACAATAAAAAATACCCCCAAAAAATACAACTATAAGACAATGAACATAATATAAGTATCAAAGGGAAGATAATTCTGGTTAGGACACCAAGAAAATACATTAAGCAGCAACTTCTTGCCCTTTTGTTGCAAGTTGATTCTGAATGTGTTGAGGTACCACATCAAACATGGCTAATTGCATTGAATAGGATGCACGACCCTTTGTCATCCCTCTAAGCGTGCTGACATACTGAAACATCTCAGCAAGAGGTACTAGTGAATCAACCACCTGTTTTCACCATCACCAAAAGGAAGAAAACAATGTTAAGTTCTAAATGAGACAACACACCGGACACTGGATATTAAGTCATACCTTTGAATTCAATAAATGAAAATGGAGAACAGGGTTTCGTGACTTACCTTAAGTCCACCTGGTTTGTCACCAAAAGTGTTGATTTGACCTCTTCTTGAGTTGAGATCACCAATTACATCTCCTAAATGTTCTTCAGGAGTAACAACTTCAACTTTCATTACAGGTTCAAGCATTCTTGGTCCAGCTTTTCTTATTCCTTCTCGAAAAGCTCCTCTCGCTGCCAACTGGAAAGCCAATACACTTGAATCCACATCATGGTAAGTACCATCCACAAGTACTGCGCGTACATCGACAACAGGAAAGCCGGCTAGAACGCCATTGCTCATACACTCTTCCAATCCTTTAACCACCCCAGGAATGTATTCTTTTGGAACTGCACCTCCTTTGATTTCACTCTTGAATTCATATCCACTCCCTGGGTCCAAGGGTTCAAACCGTACGGTTATATCTGCAAACTGACCTTGTCCGCCTGATTGTTTCTTGTGCACATACCTAACTTCTGAGACTTTGGAAATGCTTTCCCTGTAGTTTACTTGGGGAGCTCCGACATTAGCTTCTACCTGCATGAACAAACATTAGATAATGTGACCTTCACAAAATTTATACTTATTGCATATCAACATTAAAACAAAAATACATTTTTACATAAAACTTTTGAAGGAAAGAAAACGGAATCATCTCAAGGAACTAATCATATAACTAGGGGGAGGAAAATAGTATAAATTAACAAATAATATGTTTGATCGGATGATAGATATGGATGTAATCAAGGATCAGAATCGTGCCTCATAAGCATCTTTTTCTATTCACGGCTAATTCATTCCTTCATTCTCCTTTCTTTTATTAGGATTTAGAACTGTAACTATTCATGCACAACATCAACATTGAATGACTAACTTAAATTTTTGAATGATAAATTGAGAGCAAAAATACACAACCATGTTAACAGATAGAGAAATTCTCTGAAACAGAATAAAGAATATAACCTTATATTCTCTTTTAAGACGATCGACAATGATTTCAAGATGCAATTCTCCCATTCCTTCAATGACAGTCTGATTTATCTCTTCATCACGAGAGAAGTGGAAAGAAGGGTCTTCCTGTGCAAGCTTGACTAAACCAGTTGCCATCTTCTCAATGTCAGCTTTAGTTTTGGGTTCAATTGCAATCTTAATCACAGGATCAGGGAAGTCCATCCGCTCAAGCACGACCGGACTCTCAGGGTCACACAAAGTTTCACCTGTTACAGTGTCTTTTAAACCAGCAAGAGCAACAATATCCCCTGTTAAAGCTACTTTGACATCTTCTCTGCTGTTAGCATGCATTTCTAGAAGTCTACCAATTCTTTCCCTTTTCCCTTTGTTTGAATTGAGCACATAAGACCCTGCGGTTAGTTTTCCAGAATACACCCTGACAAACGTAAGGGAGCCTACAAATGAATCACTCATGATCTTAAAAGCCAATCCAGAAAATGCTTCATCATCACTTGCTATCCTTTCTATTGTTATTTCCGGGTTATCAGGGTCAGTGCCATTCATTGGTGGCACATCAAGTGGTGATGGTAGATAGTCCACTACAGCATCCAGCAACGGTTGGACTCCCTTGTTTTTGAAAGCTGATCCACACAACACTGGCACAAAAGTGGCTGCTATGGACCCCTTTCTAATTAATCTTTTTATAGTTTGTTCATCTGGCTCAACTCCTTCTAGGTAGTTCTCCATGACCTCGTCATCTAACTCAACTACGGATTCTAACATCTGTGATCTGTAATCCTGAGCTTGCTCTAGGAGATCTTCAGGTATATCTTCATAAGAAAACCTTGCACCAAGCTCTTCTCCACCCCAAACTATAGCTTTCATCCTAACAATATCAATAACTCCCTTAAAGCTATCCTCTGCCCCAATCGGCAGTTGAAGTACAAGTGGTTTGGCACCTAAATTTGTCACTATCATGTCTCTTGTTCGGAAAAAATTTGCTCCAAGTCGGTCCATTTTATTGACAAAACAAATCCGAGGGACCCCGTATCTATCCGCTTGCCTCCACACAGTTTCTGATTGTGGTTCCACACCAGCAACACTGTCAAACAAGCATATAGCTCCATCCAACACCCTAAGAGCACGCTCCACTTCTAAGGTGAAGTCGACATGACCTGGAGTATCAATGATATTGATCCTGTGCTTATCCCAAAACGTGGTGGTTGCAGCAGAAGTAATTGTAATCCCTCTTTCTTGTTCCTGTTCCATCCAGTCCATTGTTGCTGTCCCCTCGTGCACCTCTCCAATTTTGTAGTTTCTTCCGGTATAGAAGAGAATTCTTTCGGTTGTAGTTGTCTTTCCAGCGTCTATGTGAGCCATGATGCCAATGTTGCGATAATCCTTCAACGGGACAGCCCGCTTCGAATCTATAAAAGGTAAGGTAAAAAGGGTCCGATCAAAATGGATTGAGATTTTCACACCTATTTAAAAGTATTTCTAAGAAACGAACCAACTTAAATTCACAAATTGAAACAAAAACATGCACAATGAAAATTCTAAAACACAACGTAGAGTGAAATAGATACATACCCTCGGTGGACATGGCAAAAACCGAAAAACTTCTCCTTGTTCGAGCAACTCGAGGTGAAGCGAAAGAAATGGAATTGACATTAGTCCCAAAGAAGTGCGAAGAGGAAGAGCGAGTGAAATAGAGGGAGTGGTGAGAGCGAAAACCAGGTCCTGAAGCCATGAAGCGAGAAAGAGGAATTGGCCTACGGTGAGAACCATTGAGATTACATAGAGAAGAAGTGGCAACTTGAAATGACTCTGCCATGATTCTCCCCCTTGTTGGTGGTGGTGGTGTTTGGGATAGAGAAAGCCAGAGACGCGAGACGCTGGCCTCTTGTTTTCGGTAAGAACTACCGGATTGTGTTACTCAAGTGCAAACTTTTTCTCATATATCCTAAAATAATATGTTTTGGAGTATCACATATTATTATTAATATCGAAAATAATAATTATTTCAAACAAAATTTGGCTGCTTCACAAATAAATTTAGCAATAGTTAATATTTGAGGTTAGAGCTATCTATTTTCCATGGTTTGTGACAAAAGGCAACGTGGGCATCAATCAGCCCAATCTTTAAAGATAAAGATTGACATTTCAATTTTCAAGCAAAGGTTAAACCAGGTTAATTAGAGAGTTACTTTATCTGCTCTATCTACTAGTTAAAAACTATAAATAATCTTTAATTTTAATTTTAGAAATGGATCTCCAAACGAATTTATAATATATACATATTATGATTTCGTTAAATAAGTCACTTTCGTTTTATTTATAATTAATTTAGAAATGTATCTTCGAAATGTTTCAAAGATGCAATTATGTAACCCTAAACTTTTATTTGAAGATCTCGTCACAATTTCTAAATCACATATTAACACTGACAAATTAATGGTTTGATTTTGAGTTAGACTTTGTAACTCTAGGTATATTCAAATTGTTGCAGATTGAACAAATTTTGAAGGGATATAACAACTTTTAAGGGATTTTATGAATCAATAGTATTTAATATAGTATTTTAGATATGGTAATACAACATGTAGGTGTTTCTTGAATTTGATTATCTTCCTTTTTATATATTTGCTTGGATTGAGTTAGATTTTGGGAGCATCCATTAAATTTTGTGTTGGTTGGTGAAAATGTTTAAGGGGAAATCATATAAGTGCATTTCGAAAATATTTTGGAGATGCATTTTTGAATTATTTTTTAGTAAAATGGGGTGTTTCATTTGCAACGCTTTTTTGTATCTGTTAGATGCGTTCAGAGATACATCTCCAGAATATATAAAAGGCTTGTTGAAATTCTCATGCTGATGGACACTCGTACTAAGGAAAAAAGGAAAGTCATCTTTAGTGAGCTCCTAGTATTTTAGCATTTTGTCGTCGGTTTTATTATTTGTAATGTATTTAACTTTTGGTAATTTTTATTTGCAAATTCGATGAAGAAAGAGGAAACAATTTGCCAAATAAGAAAGGGAGTTCAAGTTGCCCTGACTATTAAAGACTTCAGTGTCAACAATGTTTCTCCTTCGACTAGGATATCGAGGATTTTGTCTCATCCCTCTCAGTCAGATTCTCGAGGGGTGTCGAGTACGGCAAGTCCTTTGGCTTCTGTCTCTTGGGCTAGGTCGGGACCTTTCACTCTAAAAGAGCATCGGGCGTCTACTTCAAAAGACAATTGCTCTTACCTTGCAAACCTGACCATTGAGGCTCATGAGGAGGATTTGAATATGGCGTATTACACCCAGCGAGCTTCTTTCGTTTGGCCCATTAGTGGGTGTCACACCCTAATTTTTGACCATAAGATCCCACCTTCTCGTACTCTTCTTGTTGTTTTCTTACTTTTGTACACATATTTATTATGACTAACTAGTGTGTGCAGCTACAGTAGTTCCAAGTGGAGATTGCTTTCATGCTCACTAATGAATATGTCGAAGACGTAGGTCATGTCTCAGGGAAGCAAAGATTCGGATCAATTTTATATTTGAGGGTCATATTTGACTTGGTAAAATTATTAAGAGGGTTCCAAGACAGTTGAAAAATCTCATATCTTTCTCAAAGGTACATCAAGATTAGGATACCATGACATTTGATTATTGAGGATATTCAGAAGCAAGTTATGACACAAAATATGGAGTCATGATCAAAAAGCGAGTTATGTGTTTGGAATACTCAAAATTAAAAGTTTCATTGATTTGAATACGAATTAAGGATCGATTGGAATACGAATTAAGGATGCACGCAAATATGCCTTCAAATTCAATTCGATTAATAAACAAGGGCTCAGTCGTACAAAGATGAAGGATCAATGGTGTTTTATTTGGCAAGACCATGATTTCATCTCTAAGTGGGCAAGACCGTGTTTGCTTTTTTAAAACGCATACCAGGAGCAAGTTTAAAACAAGCTGAAGGATAAATTGATATAATTACTGCATTTCTTTTTTCCAACAAAATTCAAAAGATACAGGATCCTTCATGTTCTTACATGATATAGTTATTTCATTAACTAAGTTGAAATTCACATGTCTTCATACTAACACTAGTTTTAAACGCTTATTAGTTACAAGCTTTTTGTTGATCCTACGCAGCTCTAAACCAGGTATCCACTAATCCGTTGCTTCACCGTAAGCCGACGAAGTCGCTTTAATCCTCCCAGGGTGTGCTCCTGTAGTGAGCGGTTCCAGGAAGATCCGTCGAGTTAGAGAGCATTGTACCCATAGCACTTGAATCAACGACACCCATTGCATTACCTACGGCGGAGGAAGAACTTCGCAAAGAAACAAGTAAATCAACACATCCTCCGGCGTACTCGAAAACCTGAACAGCAAGAAAAGAATCAAGATATAAACAACTGAGTTATAGAGAGCAGGATGTATATTTAGTAAACTAGCAACAACATACCAAATTTCCAAAGGCGGGCCCGTCAAACGATCATATAGCATGTTGGGGATGATACATAACCGTAATCCATCTATTGCAGTCCAGGATCTTTACAGCACCAACCGACGGTGCTGGAAGGAGAATTCAACCAAGCTAACAGCTTTTCCGGCCCTCAGAATTCCTGCAGACATTTGTCTTTGATTAGAGTCAACAATCAGTAAGAGATGAAGGAGGAAATAATTCTAAAACAGAGATGGCATCGACGGCATCGCATCAAGCTGCAAAAAGAATTAAAGAAGTATGAGAGGGATGTTTGTGACTGCTTGTCATTAAAAATCACTCCTAGGTACCACTCACATGTTGTCAAAGCAACTTGTCATCAGAATTGCGCCGAGGGATTTCCGCAACAACCCCATCCATAGCATCAGTAATCTGGCCAAGAAATCTCAATAAACCAACCGAGGGTTCTACCCAAACCATTCTCACGTGTGAATCCTGCAGCAAACAATTGAAGATCAAACACTGTAAAACATCAAAATTCAACATTATGCCAACTGACCAGAAATTCAAGAAGGAATAATGGGAAGAAGGTCTCTGCACCTTGTCGGTTCCGCCAGTTTCGTCCATCTCTCAGCCTCCATTGGTGGACAATGGTCTACATGAAAACCAAGAAGATGAGTCATAAATGCCGTCATAAACTCGTTAAGTATTCATTGAAGGCAGTCACAACTTGTCAACAATTGAGAGCATACGATAATCTTCAAACATCACACAGCAAGGTCGAGGGAGGCGACATCCTAAACATACGACTACCCCGCCATCAACCTTCGGTGCAGTAACAGTAGCAGTGGTCCAATTAACAACAACTGTTAAGATAAGAGGAAAAAAACAGAAATTAATAAAGAAATGAGACTGAGAACTACAGATACTTTGATTCCACTCCCGTAAGGATATGTAGGCATAAGATGTGATATCTTATCGAGTATACTTAAAAATAAACCCCTAGGTCTTTTAACCTTAAGCAGATAAACACTTAGCTGATAAACAAACATAAAACAAGAGGTTCCTGTAAAGTACTACAGAAACTTAGGATGCTAGCACCTTCCCTAAGTTTAACCAACCCCTGAACCTAAACTCTCTAGCTTGCATTTGCATTGCATTGTGGGTATTTCGATCTTTATCCCTTCCTTTGGACAAATCAAAGTTCGGTTGCAAATGAATTAGATTCAAGTTAATCAATAGCTTGATATCCAAATTTCACCGCGACAAAAATGGCGACTTCACTGGGGATTCCTTAGTGGGTTTCCCTAACTTGCTTTTATGTTTGTTTATATTTGCTTATATTTGCTTAATTGTTTACTTGTATACTTGTTTGTTTATTGCCTTTGGGTTGATAATCTTGAGTGGTGAGACAAAGTCCTACACCCAGACTTGAGTGAACTTAAGATAGGATAGTGATATGTTCGACGAGGCTTATAGGGGGTGGAATCCCAACCAAGCTGACTTGAAAATCACGCTCAATTGAGGCCCTCTCGAAAGTTGTATTGTTGAACGAGTTCTTAATCGTGAAAATATGCACTATATTCGATGTTGGAGCCTATGATATTGAGGACCGTAGTTACCTTAACCCCACTTTGGCCTTTATTAGGATGTAGTGCGGGGCTATGAGGGGGTACCCCTGAAATAATGCTACGCGATGCTACACTCAAAAGAGGTTCTCTTGAGAATATTATTTATCACCAAGTACTTGGGAAATTGATAATATCCGAAAGATGGGCTAATGACTTTGGGAACCTTCTTAGAACCTTGTTCTGCAGGTACAATCAACCTTTACTCCACATCCTTTGGGAATGGGTATACCCTTTGCTCCATGCTCGTTGCAAACCTAGGGTCTCCCTTGTTTGTTTATCTTTATACCTCTATGTGCTTACCTGTGTTCGTTGCATCCATATAGCATCATATTGCATTGGTCTCATGGAATCCCGAGTTTATTTATAAACATTATAGAACCAATAGAGATTACAATAGAAAAATATTTTGAAATATTCTTTTAAGAGTCCTAACTTGGATGACCTAAGGAAGTTAGGGGCACTAATTGAAGAATCAAGAGAACTCGAAAGACAAATATAAGAGACCTCCATTATCCTTGAAGATCAATCGAAGTTCAAAGGACTTTCATCAATATTAAAGACCCAAATAAACAAGGGTTTCCTTCCTTATTTTCCAACAAGAGATAGAGGATTTATTTTCCTCTATCACATTACTTCTCAGAAGTTGATCATGGACAACTTATCTTCAAGAAGATCCAAGTGGAAGAACAAATCAATAAGTGCGATGAAGGACTTCCTTAGGGCTTTATTAGCTTTTATTTAGCTATTATGCCAGGACTCTT